GTGATTTACATAACAAAGGATGTTTACGATCTACATGAGACAGCTGCTAGCAAGACCACATTCTGATCACACTTATGTGGAAACCCGGATGGTGTACCTGAATCTGGGCGATATTGTGAGACAAGTATGAACTGCTCTGCAATCTCTTGCTTCGGCGGTGCCCTCCAAAATAACAGCGTTCCTCTGCAAGTAATACTCCTTGTATTTCTTCGTCGTTGTATTGCAGAAGCCATTGACTGTCATCAATGTCCGCATCCTGGAACCAATGCACACTTCCCAAGGCAATTTCATTTTTCTGTGCTTTTCTTTTTTTTCTTTTTTTTTGTAATTATGTTGAGAGGTATTAAAACCAGCAGCTTTCACTTGATATTTTGGTGTATGTGTATTTTATTTCCAGTACTATTGTCTTGTCTACCCCTCGCCAAACTGCTTGGGAGTCAACAGATATAAAATAAAAAAGGAATATAGTACATATGTAATTTAGTGGATAGTTAAAAAAACAAGGCCATGAGGTTCTCAAACAAATCACCCGGACTTGTATGGGAATTGTTTGTGTAATAGGAGTAACTTCGTTACTCGCTTTTCAGGGCTTCGCTTTCAGGGCTGCGTTCACCCAACTGACGCACAGAAAAATGACAAACTTATAAATGAGCCCTCGTGATACAACATTTTCGGTCGGTTTTATGGAAAATTGCACATCGACCACATAAGTTAGAAATACTTCTACAATAAACAGTAGTCTATGTTGTGACATTCGTTCAGCGTAATAAAAACGAACTGTCATTTTGCGGGTATTAACGTCTCCACATACTAGTTGTTTCTTGTGCTCGACTGCAGAGTTCGCCGTGATATAATTCCCTTCAGCATGCTAACTCTTCAGGGCTTCGCTTTCAGGACTGTTCTCAACAACAGACCAGAATATCTTCACACACACATTGTGGGTAAACATCAAAATACTGAGCAGTTTTTTTTTTATAATTTCCATATTTAATCATACCGCTGCTATATCTGATTGTGAAGTTGGAATATTAATATGTCATCAAAATCGCGTGGTTTCGTGAACTCAATATAATAACTAAACTCCCCCAACGGAATCTGTGGACATGAAACATAATTGCGGGGTGTCCAATTGACAAAGAGGGCGCACTCGAATAAAATTTCGCTGAATATATTCTGCCAAAGTAACTGTGGTGATGCGATTACCTAAAAAACGAAAGAAAGTGTAGGTAGCGAGCGCAATCAATACATTATCTGGTGTCTCCGTGTTAGTTCCCGCCATGGTAGGTTTCATCACGCCCCTTGGTCATTAGATCTTATTCAGACTTCATAAAAAAATGAAAACAAATAAGAATTATAACATCAAATATCACTGATGACGATACCAATTATTAATCCATTTTTGACATGTAACCCCCTGATACATTGTAGGTCTAGCCCTGATATTATGTATTGACCCTTAGCCCCTGTAAGCACTTATGAAAGATCACAGGCTACACATATATACCATTATTTTATCAATGATTCAACATATAACATGTGTCATTGAGTTCAACATGCGAAACAAATAACATGATGGTATTGAAAATTCACTCATGTTAATACACGTTTCATTTATTCATGGTGCCCCCAGGGTCAGGTTATATCAATATGCTTTTAAAATTACCCTGATAATGAACTCATGATATACACTATATTATAAATAAGGAAAGTGTGAAAACGGCCATTAATTGTTACTTCCGTTGCATAGTAGTTTCTTTTCTAATGTCATAAGAGCAGTATTGATTGCTCACGAAAACACATTGTCCTATCATCGTCCTCGTATGCAATGCTGACATGAATACAAACGAATAGTGGACACCTAGTTTATACAGCATGAATCAGAATAACAGAGGTACCCAATGAGAATGAATACAAGGATTGATATCTTGAACATTGACCTTAATCGAATTATATAATTATTCAGCATTAATGACTAATTTATTTGGCAGTAATCACTTTTTTATTCATAAATGACTAGTTTATTCAGTAATAATATTTAATTCATTCAGCAATAATGACTAATTTATTCAGCAAAAATTTCTAAAATATTACGCAAGAATGAAATATTTTTTCAGCAAGATTAAAATAAATAGTAGATAGACACCATTTTTGTTATAAGTAAAAAGAATAGCAAAATGTACTTACCTTAACAAAGATGACGTCACAACTCCCCACGAACAGGAAAACAGCATCTCCAAATGAAAATCACCTAAAGTGTGTTTATGTATTCATCAAACAGTGCTTACGACTATTTATCAATCGCATTTCACTTAAACCATTTTCACGTGGGCTGTTGGGACTAAGCCCGTATTTTGCAAATCTTGTTTCATCGATCTTTTTCCTGATTTTGATTTTCCAAAATCAAGTGCCAATTATTTTGAATAGCCTTCCGTGCTTTCACTGATACCCGCTTTTATTTCAAATTACTGTGACCACCAGATTTTCAAATCATTCAACTGTTGTAATGTGTTACTACAACTCATATTTCTGAAGTTCAAAGAAAAAGAATCACACTCTTCAATTTATTCATTAGAATTGCTGTAACAGTTATGTTTAATAAACCTTGATACTAAATATGTGCTTAGTACAACGCATAACGAATAACAAAGGCTCTTTCTGCAACTTAGTAACAATGGCAACGGACGTTTTCTGATATAAATGTGTTTGCCTTTGCCTTATTGAATTGAATTACTCATCATTGTGCTTAATATATCCTTAGTTTTTGAATTGAGTGTCAATCCCAAATAGTAAAAAAGTATCTCATGTCAACATATTAAAATACTGCGTCCATCTGACATACCCCCCCTCGCCAGGAGTGAACAAATTAAAAACAAACCCATTATTTATCACAGCTAGAGCATTAGTCGAAATATCTTTCAATTCAGTTTTTAATATATACCTAAAAATAGAAATGTATTGACTCTAATAGCATAATATAGCTCATCTATATATTCCAGTTACGTTCTGAAATAATGCTTGATTCTAGTCATACACTCCTTTTAGAAATATGTCACATAGTGACGCCAAATCACTAACAATTCATAAAGCCTCAAATACATGTAATGTAATAAATAAATGACGGGCGATGTCGAATTATTGAGTCTAATTCGAACCGAACTATTCGTTGTTACTCAGTCTAACTATAGCTGTTTTTTTCATTATCAACTTTGTGGACTCAAATGAGCAACCACAAGGTGAAATATCATTTAATAAATTTAATAAATAAATTAACTGAAAATTTTTGGTCGACCAAACATCCATTCTCATTTGCTGCAAACATTTGTACATTTCCCATGTGTGGTCATTGACTATTTTATAATAATAATAATAATAATAACTATATAGGTAATTTCACAATAAATTACCTCCAGCCTGGTTCTCATCTTATTCATCGATATGTAAATGCGTATGTTCTGCGGCTTTCAAGAGAATAGCGCAAAGTATACATGAAGGCAGAACTGCGATTGTATCGACGCCTCATTGCATACTTTGCGGTATTCTCGTGTTCGAATGCGACTTAAACGAGACTCGCGTTTTGTTAATAAGGAAGACATTCGAACGCATTTCTAACACTTACGTCCGTACGTATGAATTCTATTGTTCTAGATGTATAATACTGTAACAGCCACAGCATCACCCCAGGAAGTATACTACTAGATCCATCGAAATCCAGTATCAGTGAAAAAACTTGTAGCCGAATTTATAGTTTTAAAATTAGCTACAATAAATAAAATGGTCAACAGAGATGTGAAATCATTATACCAAAGGAATTAAATTTACTCATTGGTTTTACAGTAATATTAGTGATTTATTAAATTAATAGTACTTGGCATAAATACACTAGTAGATTATGAGGTACACCTATTCCTCTTTCTAATGATATTATTTTCTCGCTATAATTATTAGACGACCGCCGCTCCGCGTGGGATATGGGAGCTACGCGATGTAAACAGCGCGTGCCTTGCGTGGCGACTTCAGCGCTTTGACTAACTGAATAAAATATTGAAGTGCTAAACAAAACCAAGACATTGCGTTGACAGTAGTCTCTCTTGTAAACTACAAGATAATACGATGCATACAAAATGAGATATTAGTGAAGAGATCCGTTGTTGATGTACTTTATTTCACTTTCATCTGTTGAAATGTGGCATTGAAGTTGATTCCACATGGCGTGTTAGTATCATAACAATCTATGTGAGGAAAGACAAATATAATCATTCAGACATTTTTCAAACAAACGAGATTCATTCATATGACAACAGAGTTAACATCTACACTGCTGTCGATGTACAATATATGTATTTGTAAAATATTATAAGAACCAACTTTCTCGGTACTGTAACACCAATCACGAGTATAAAACCGGATTAGACCATGCGATGATCGTAACAAGCTTCACGCTTTTCAAGCACCGAAATGGTTAGTATGTAGATACGCCATAGCCTATGTATAGACAGACGTTTTATGCAAATTTCTGTATACGATAACACTATTTCTTGTTTGTGTTTGTTTACAGTGGAAAAAATACTAACCCAATTGTACAATCATTTCCTTCCAGTCTGATGTTAACGATGTTTGCAATACGCCATCAAAGCAAAATAGGTTTGCGGTCTTGTCGCCTGGCGGCAACAGACAACCATGTTCCCCGCATGGGCATGTATAGTTGATTTCTAATTGTTCGCCATGGCGAAGTGTTTTGGTGGCACAGTTTGATGAATACGAACAGTCAGCTTGCAATGAAAAACAAACAATGTAGATGTTAGAACTCAAACATTAACAAGGCAAGCTATTATAAATATTGAAATGACTGAATTAAGTTGAAGATTACAATAAATATTGTGCTCTTACCATAATCACAATATCTAGCAATTTTCTGAAATTTAAGAAGAGATATAATAATTATAACCCTTTCTAGCGACAACAATTGGCGTAAGCGACGAAGGACTACTTACACAAACACAGTTTTCTATGTGAACGACATTGTTTACGTTACAGAAAAGTGTTCTCGTTATTCTTAGTATTTGCTTGAACCTAATATACCTTATTATATTTAGAGGTTATAAAAACTGGTAAGACCTGTCTGGGTAAAATTAGTATACTTGGCGGGAGATAATAACCGAACGTTGGAAGACCATTATCTGCCATAAATATGCTAATTTTACCAAGACCTTATAATAATGAAGTTTTGACTGTGTGAAAGCGAACTAAAGTTTCATCTTGTTTATTCAACAAACAACACATGTTGGCTGGCCTTAGGCAAGATAAGTGTGAACTAGGTTACTGTCCAGGTCACAGTTTGTGTCAACAAGTGGAAGTATCCCTGTTCCCAGATGTGTTTTTTATTTGTACAATCACGTTAAAATCCACTGTTTTTGTTTTGTTTCTCTTCAAGGCTAAAATCCCACCGGCTTTCCAGTCATGTTAGACCGCTCGCTATGCTTTTCATTTAGTTTCAGTTCAAAGTATTCTACAATTCACCGGCCGCTCTTAGCATTGGAAAATAACTATTACGCTGACGAAACAGATGCCAATAACATCTATCTTGATGCGTTGAGAATACTCAAGATAAGGGGTATGCTTACACGCACCAAAACGTCGTACCCGTGTACCGTTCGTTCGTAAGGGCAATCACTATAATGCTACTCCACACCACACAGTACAGTACACCACGCGCAAAATACAAGAATATTTGATGGATTAAAAGTAGTTTCTTTCCTATTTTATTTCGTCAAATGAGAGGGTGAAAAAGAATTTCAAGAATTGCATTTTAATTTATACAGATTCTGCTTTATAGTGCAAAAATTAATAACATTAATGAATTCCCCGCCAACCCATTGATCAACCATAAGGTTATACGTAAATAACAATGTTTTTTGCTGATTAAGTTTAGTAGGCGGAGTTTATGTCAGTGATTTCCATGTTATATGCATATTCTCAGAAATAAAAAGTGGGAAGAATTCGACTAAGGGCCACAATCTATTTATTATACGACGTTACTGGAATCAACGTGCGATCCAATAAAAGTGTTATTCCAGGAATAGATTGAACTTGGTCAATAATGACAAAATGTATAAACAAAAAGTATCTGAAACTATTTATTTTGTTCTAGTCGATGGAACATCTATAAAACTTGACACGTTTCAAGACATGAGTTAAGTCTTATTTATTGAAACCAAAACGTTGTCGAAATTGATCAAACTTTGTTTTTTTAAAAGAAAGAGCGAGAATCAATCATCTTTCTAGAGTAACGCCCATCAAATCTGTTTTGAAATATTGTACATGTAATGTGATGTTGGTTATTGCCACCGTTTGCTCTTTTTAAAACTTCAGATTGATGATAAATATGTCAAAATTTGTTCAAATTCACAAATTGTAT